CGGTGCTGGAGGGCCGCAATGATTTCGTCCCTGGGATCCTTCGGGAGGGCCTCCGCCCCCTGCGAACGAACACGGGCCGAGTGGGTCTGATTGATCTGGTGCCTTGCGTCATCGGCATGAAGTGGTGCCTTGCCTTTGTCCTGATGGGGACGCCTCTCGTCTGCTCTTGAGACGGATCCCCCGCTCTCTTGGGCTCTTTGGGATGCCTTTCCATCGAGGCGGTCTTGGACCCCTCGGCGGTCTTGTGCCCCTCCGAGCCTCTCGAGGACTGATGTCCAAGGCCTTTCTTTGTTCGCACCGCGTTGGTCCCGGGATTGGGCCTCCTGGGAAGCGGTGTCTTGAGCCACGACCCCTTCGTCGTTCCCCACCCGAGGGGTAGGGTTCACGAAGGGGGGTGGTCATGGGAGAAGAACAACGTTCTCCCCGACCTGCGGTTGAAGGGGTACCAGAGTGCCGAAGGCACCTGGGTTTTGAGTGAGTGTCTGGATGAAGACAGAGAATGCTGATTGTACGTCGATAGTGAGAACCGGAGGGCTCACTTGATTTTCGCTCCGGTCCCTCCTTCGGGTTTCGATGCCGAGGTGGGCATCAGGAGCGTTTTGTTGGAGCTGAAGGCGCAGGTCAACAGCATCCTGTTCCAACTCAGTGATGACCCCTCCCTCGGGAGCCTTGTTAGAGGCTCCGGGGGCGTTGACTTCACCGCGGGCCAGGTTGTTGTCCTCAAGGTTCTTGGACTGAACACGGGTGGTTCTTCCCATTTTAGTAGGTGTTTTTTAGCTGAAGGGGAGATTTTCTTACTTGATTGTTCGACCTCTCAATGAGAGCACCAAATGATGGATAAGTGTACCCGGGGGGTATCTATCCGAGGGGTTACTGTGGGGAATAACTAGAGAGAAGTCAGAGCAAAAGTAAGAGAGAGAATATATATTGCTGAGAAAGTGTTGAGCGTATTGAGTATGGATCACAAATGGGGAAAAAGGTGATATTTATAGTAGTAATAAATGCCAGATAGGGACACGTGTCATCATTCTGGTGGTCGAGGGGTCACTTCAACGGGGTGGTACTGGCACTCGCATGTGGCCGCATTAAATGCGGTGGTTGGATGTGACGTTTGTACTTGGCACATTGATCCGGCGTATGTGGGTAGGAGATTCTGTCGAGGAGATGTCTTCGGCCGCAGATGATTGGCCGAAGGCTCTTCATTCCGGGGGGCCCTAGGTGCCGAGGGCTCTAGGTGCCGAGAGCTACTATTTTTGCCGCTTTCTCCCAGACACTTTGAGTGCTTTAAAGAAGTTGTATTGTGAGTTTATGAGCCTTCGGCCAGTGGGCGAAGGCACCCCAATGTTCGTTGCGGGCTGTTTGGCACTTGGGGCGGTATGATTTGGGCCTGCTGCGCTTCCTGGGCCTTTTGGGTCTCTGCTATAGTAATGAGAGTCTATGGGCCGGGGGTTCCTGGGCCATATACTCCATCAAAATTGTTTTTTCTTCCTTGTGAAATATCACTACTACCATTCTTTGGTGATTATTTTCATTCTCTTGAGCTAGGCATTATAAAGGAATTGGACCTTCAAATTATCATGAAGTGTTGCATTTCTAGTCAAACACGTTCTGCGTTTATGTATTTAACAATCATCACTTATCAATTACCATAAATGCCAAAAAAACAATAACATTAATATTTTTATTAGGTCCCCTAGATTTTGATGATTAAGGTATGTTATTTTGATGATGTCACCCTCTTTTTTATACTACCTCCGTCCCGCTATGATTGTCCCATTTTACCTTATCGGTCTGTCGCACTAAGATTCTTTCATACCAATTTGTTAAAGTTTGTGTGGCTCTAAATCATTCTTACTTTATTCTTACTTTATTAATTCAATATAACCACATAAACCACTTTTTATTAATTTGTGTGTCACTCCCTCTTGTCCCGTTGTTTGCGGGAAGGAGGGAGTATTATCCATGTATTAGACTAGTTCTTGTACTTGTTCTACTTTTTTACTTGTAATGTGCTCCTGTATTAGTGATAAAGTGCTCAAGAAAAACAAAGAGTACTGAAAAGAGAAGCAATGTACCATAAAACAAAAAGAAAAGAATAAAAAAGAAAAGGTACGAAAATAGTCAATTGAAACCCGTTGTGAATTCGGCAGCCATCTGAAAAACCAGAATCAGCAGCCTGCTGAAAAATCAGCACAAAAACAATCAAACAAAAGACCAACTTGCAGTCAAAATAACAAAAAAAAAATGAGAGTAATTTTATAAGAAATTGTTATCACATTATTTCTTGTAAAATTATTTGACTAAAAGCAAGCGTTTTCAATTGTAAGGAAGCATTGAACATACACTCAGCTTATATATTGAAATTGATTTGATGTTTTGTACTTTTAAATTTACATGCGCAATGTTTTACCAACGGTCCAGGCTTTACAAAGTTTCAGTTGCAAAATCATTTTTTACCCCTTGATTGTGACGTTTTTGAGCGGCAAATTGGTCATTCTTTCATGGAAGTTGCTTTACGCACCCCTAACATTACTTAATGTAACTATGATTAGACAAGTTTACCCTCTTCATTTCCTTAATTAAAATTGCTCCCGTCAAAACCTCCAAATGACTCCAAGCCTCCAATACACGTGTACGCTATTAAATAAATAAATAAATTGCAGCTATGGTCCTATCTACATTTCGAATTTCGATGCTCTAATATTTTTAATCACCTGCAAAACTGATTTTCAATTCAATAATTTGCTACAACTATATTATTGTTTTTATAAAATAACTTATTTTCTTCATTTGTGCTTTGTGTTTTTTAAGTATCAAATTAAATCAAAAATTATTTTTCATACGACATAAATATTGCATATAAGAAATTTAAAAAAGCATTTTTATTATGATCTGGTGTGTTGAAGTATGACCCGATAAACGTCTGATGGATGTATATTTCACTATTGTCTAAGTCCGATCCGGCATGACTTAATGTGTTTCGGTCGAATTTTTTAAATTTAAAATTCGAAACTGAAAGTAAGACGAAATAAACATCTACTTGTGTCCAATTGAAAAAACTTTACTGTAGTATCATTCTTTGGAAAAAGTGTTAACATATGTGTTGCAATTTAAAAAAAAATCATTATTTTTCTTTGTATTCTTTGCACTATAAAATTACATATTTTGTATGATGATAAATAGTTCAAGATTACAAACCAAAAAATGTTATTTCAAAAAAATGTAACAGTGCGTTTGAAATTTCGCAACGGCAATAAAATTAATATTTATGAATTTGAAGTGCTTCATTTACAAGGGTAAAATAATATTTTTTTCAATTCAAAATTAAAGAGTTAATATTTAACATAAAAATAAATTTTTATTGTTAACTCTTTATTTTTTTAATTTTCAAATTGAAAATTTAAATTTATAATTTTTTAAATATTTATTTTATTAAAAGAAATAAAGGCAAACTTTCTCCTTTACAAGAACATAAAGGGTATTTTTGCATCTCTTAGAAGTTGAGGGGCATAGTGAGTGCACATTTAAAATTAGTATTTTTTACTTTCATACTTACCCGATAATTAGTTATCTTGTTTCATAGTAATCACTTCACCTGCCCATTATCTTTATCTCAATTTTCTATTCGATAATATTTCAATAGTATTGTCAGTGTTCTAAAAGGAGGTAAAAAAAAGGGCCTAGCGTGATGTGGCGGTAAAACGCTCTACATAGTAGAAAGACATTGATAAGACTATCAACTAACGAGTTGATCACTAAAAGTGTGAGAAGGTGTAGGCCTAGGAACAAGAAGACGGAAAGTTTTTAGACAATTGTTTTTTTGCAAAGAATTCTTTTATTAAAGTTTAAATAATCAATTTATAAACATGTTATATGTGGAATCTAATATGAAGTGTTAATTAAAAGGAATGATATACGGAGTAATATTTTGTATTTTCACTTTTTATAGATTTAAGAATTACTCCCTCCGTCCCCTTTTAAATGTCCCATTTTACCATATTGGGATGTCCCTATTTAATTGTCGCATACCTTATTTGGTAAAGTTTGTGTGGCTCAAAATAATTCTTACTTTATTCTTACTTTATCTATTAATATCAACCACACAAACCTACTTTTCTTAAAACTCGTGTCACTCTCTTCCGGGACATTTAAAAGGGGACGTAGGGAGTATATATTAAACAAAGTAGAAATTAGGCTCAAATTTTATATAATATTTTTTGACATTTTTTATTCATGTATCACTCTAAAATACGAGTAGTAATAATCAATAGAAATTTAAATCATCTTTCACTCATAGGCATAGTTTATTCCCGTCAAGTCTTCAAAGACTTGAAACTTGCTCTTGACACCTTGACACGCCACACATCTTTTATAACACTAAATATTGTACATATTTTATATAGTACAAAGTATATATTATTATATAGCTATTTTTTAGATACATAATAGATGCTTGTAAAATTTTTATAACAATATTATTATGTGTTACAGATACGTATATAGTATTTTTTGTATGATAGCTATAGTTTGTAATTCTAATTATATTAGGGTGAGAAGCATGTTTTAAAAATTCTTGTTCTTCAGAAACAAATTAAACAATACGGAGTGATAATTAAAGACATACTCCCTCCGTTCCTAAAAATTCTTTCCAGTTTGACTTGGCACGCTTATTAAGAAAGTGGAATAAAGTGAAAATGTATGGTTGTGGTTGTGTAAGAAAAAGGTAAAATGAATGTGAGCCACACAAATTGTCCAAAATGGGAAAGTGAGAAGTATTTTTGAGAACAGCCCAAAAAGAAAAGTGAGAAGTATTTTTGGGAACGGAGGGAGTACAAAGTATAAAAGCTCAATGAAAAAATGTCCATAGGTCATATTTGTCCAATATTGAAACAAATGGGTGCACAAAGCATATTTGAAGGGGCCCTCAGATAGGCTGTTCTTTCACTTTGGTTTGTATATAGATATATAGATTTGTAAAAAAATCTCTAAAAACTTGTGTAGTCGGCCTGGCCTGCACTTTCCCGGAGACGGGCTGAACTTACTTCGACGAAAGCCCAATTACTCTATTAACCCTAATACCCAGTTCTTATCTTATCTCAGCTGCCATACCAACCCTGCAGCAACGTCTAACGAAGAGCTTCATACCCTCTCTCTGAAAGACGCCGCCTTTCTGAGTTTTCCGTCCCTTTAAATCATCCAAAAATGGCTACTCAGATGAGCAAGAAGCGAAAGGTTAGTTATATGTAAATCTAAATCTAACGGCATGGTACGTGTATGTTTTACATATGCTCAGACAAAGTCGTTTTTCATTGATTTTGCAGTTTGTCGCCGATGGAGTTTTCTTCGCGGAACTTAATGAGGTTTTGACGCGAGAGCTTGCTGAGGATGGATACTCCGGAGTCGAGGTCAGAGTCACTCCCGTCAGGACAGAGATCATTATACGCGCCACTCGTACTCAGAATGTTCTAGGTAATTCTCTCCCTGACTCTGTTAGATACAATATTAAAATCGTTGATTTGTTCTATTAGACTAAAAGACCCTAGATTTTGAATCACTGAAAAGATTTCATTACTCATGTAACCTATAAGTGTGCTTTGGTTTTTTTATTTGTGTTGGTTCCATCTTACTCTTTGTATATTGAAGAATCAATGTGAGTTTGACTTTCTATATGTTTGCGAGACAGAACTCTAATGTGGAAATTTGATAATGTTATTCTGTTTCTCCATCTTGTGTGTATCATAACATATTCCAGCTGTCATAACCTGTTTGTTACTCCAGTTATGTCTTATATAGAGTATATTTTCATTAATGGGCAATTTTACATCCTATGTGAATGAATGGATTTTTAGAATTTTTCCAAATGCCTACCATTGAATATTAATGAAATTTTAACTCTTAAGATGTAATATACATTCATCACGTAAAAACAAAGCTCTGATTTTTCAAGTAGACAAACTACAAGTAGATTACTGTCTTGGTGGCTAGCGTTTTTTGTGTGGAACACAAATACTTTTGCTTAACAGGTGTTTGATACACTTATTGATTCTCAATTATTTATCCATAGGTGAGAAAGGAAGGAGAATTAGGGAACTGACATCACTGGTCCAGAAACGGTTCAAGTTTGAGGAGAACACTGTGGAGCTGTATGCTGAAAAGGTGCAAGATAGGGGTCTTTGTGCCATTGCTCAGGCGGAGTCCCTTCGCTACAAACTTCTTGGTGGTCTTGCTGTTAGGAGGTAAAGCTCATTGAGCTATGTGCATTGAGTTTTGTTAACTTACCTATTCAGTATGAATTTGTTGGTTGTTAACCAAACTTGGATCGATGAACTAGAAAGTGATGAATGCAGTAGTCATTTGTTAACTTCAAGTCTTCAATGTATGTCATCAACAAAACAAATTGATTTTTCTAATATCATTTTTGTGTCGGATGATGACTAGAAAAACTGTTTAAAAAACCTCCCTGCTAATCAAGTGATGCTGTATTTCTGCAGGCACTCCAAGTTTAGCTGGGAAACATAAATTCCTATTTTGCATTCTTTTAAGTCTAGAAACCATGTGGTTTGTAAGCAATAGCTTGCAGATGTGTTTTATACCTTTACAATAGTCATCTATAAAGCAAATTGGTCCCTTTACATACTGATCTTGTGTCGGAAGATGACCACAGTGTTTCAGCTCCTACATGACTGAATCAGGAGTTGCCTTATGTATCATTATAAGCTAACTAGTCTGTTTGGATTGCAACATGTCTTGAAATTCATAACAAGCACATTAATTATTTATGAATGACATCGGTTGATTGTTTTTATGTTATTTGTTTAGGGCATGCTATGGTGTCCTGCGATTTGTTATGGAAAGTGGAGCAAAGGGTTGTGAGGTATTTATCTTGGATATATTAATTTGATTTCATCGTGAAAGAGTGTGGTAAAATTCTTTTCGTTCTTTAAGGTAATTGTCAGTGGAAAGCTGAGAGCTCAGCGTGCTAAATCTATGAAATTCAAAGATGGTTACATGATTTCTTCGGGTCAACCTGTGAAGGAATACATCGACACTGCTGTGAGACACATTCTAATGAGACAGGTCTGCCATCCTTTCCTCACTTTTTACATTTTGTTAAAAGAGTTTTGTTTGGTTGAATGAGCATCGTGTGTGAACTTTATCCCGAAGTTCCAAAGACAAATATGGTGCATTTAAATAAACACTTAAACAAAAAATACAACTTCTTTCCTGAAATTAGAGTGTCATGATAGGTAGCTTGTTTAATTAAATGAACATTGCATTAATTTAATTTGGAAGTTACAAAGACACACCGTTCAGTTAAATAAACAACTAATCAGAGAGTAGCCCCGCTCTACTTTTGACTTTGCATAGATAACAACTGTGTGTCAAACTGCATTATCTTACTTTAGTTAATTTCTTGATATTTTTTAGATACAAATAATCATGTTCTACTTGTGTATGCTACCTTTGTACATTATTATTTCTAATAGTTTGACCTTTTTACTAATCACTTTAACCGCACCATACTTGTTAAAGTTGTCCTGATAAGAAATTTTAAAATATCAATCAGTTAGACTTTTAAATAATACAGAGTAGTCAATTATATATGTAAATGGTCAAATTTGTGGATTGGGAAATGTGGATTTTAGAATTATATAAGCTACAAAAGAACATTTGATTTCGTATTTAATCATTCAAGTTTTATGGAGCAATTGCACCTATGGTTAAGTGAACTAGTGGAGTCATTATAGTATTATGCCTATGACATCAAATGGGACAGCAGGTGTATAAGTAGAACTTATAATTCATATCATGTTCACATACACAGACCTTGCAAAGGTGTATCCGTGCCATACTTGCGCTAAAATTTTACCTGGTTTGTTAAAAAATAATTAAAATGTTCTGAAGTGTCTTGATCTTGGAATATTATTAAATGTTGTTGTGAGTCTTATTTAATCATCATCATCCCAGGGAGTTTTGGGCATAAAGGTAAAGATCATGCTTGGGCATGACCCTGAGGGAAAGACTGGGCCAAAGTGTCCACTTCCAGATCTTGTCACTATTCATCCTCTTAAGAATGAGGAAGAAACCACCCCAAAGCCTCATGTTCCCACAATGGCAGTAGTGCCAACCACTGATATTGAAGTTCCAGTTATGTAGGTCTATCAACTGATATTGAAGTTCCAGTTATAGGTCTATCAACTGTCAGAGCTGTGTGCTTACCTTATATGATATATAAGGTACTACTTCTATAATTATATTTTGGCACGCATCATCTTTGTATAATTATATTTATAGTAGTTTTTTGGTTAAAACACTTTTCTTCCCGGACATGAAATATGAGAGGTCTCTGCTGAGGAGTAGATTTTCAACTCGGTGTGTTCTCATGATGGATGATGAAATGTAATTTCAGTTTGTTTCTTGGAAACAATTCTAAGATGCGTGCTAAGAAAATTTTGTTCTTTTAAATGTTTCCAACTCTATTGCGTGTTGATGTTTCTGTCATCGAAGAGTTTTTATTCTAAATGATCTCCCCCAATTGCATTACTTGCTATGTGGGAATGAGTGATGTCAGGTTCTAAAAGTAGTGTTATGGTTAATTTACATCTGGTTTCTAATTAAATACTTTTATTAACATCATTTTTTTGTCATTCTCTTGTGAGTAATTATGTACTTCCTCCATTCTTTTTTAATTGCAACAGTCCACTTTTCAATGTTGAAAAAAAGTTGTAAATTAGATCATCAATATCTTTTCCTTATTACTAAAAAAGTTGAAAAAATTAGATTTTTGAAATTTAAAAGGAGAAGAATTTAGTACTCCCTCCGTCCCTAATCTTTCTCCCTTTTCGGCTGGGCACATTTATTAAGATAGTGGGATTTGTGTGGTGGAGAGTTGTGCAGAGGAGAGAGAAATGTGTAAGAATGATTTTGAATCACAAATTTTTTGCTAAAAGGGGGAAGAGGAGATCATTTTGGGACGGACGAAAAAGGAAAGTTTGAAGATAATTTAGGGACGGAGGGAGTAATATTTTTTAAAAAATTAATTTATAATACACTTGTAAATAAAATATAATCAAAGTACAATATAGTGCAAAAGATTAGTTTAACAAAGAGGCCTTACGTGAAGGACTTTGTAAAGGTTGTGAATTTTTTTTAACTTCAAACCTCCTTGCAATTTTTATATTTTAAAATTGTGTAAATATTGGTTTGATGTTTTGAAACTGTTAGCGAATATGTTTTGGAATTCTTTAATAGGATCATTATGTTTTTCTTCTTAAAATAGGGATATTACTGTTGAAAATATTGTAGTTATGATAGCAAATAATGCAACTATTTCAAAAAAAATTAGTCCTATTTCAAGAACTTTGCTTATATCAAAATATAAAAGTAGAACATTGTCAACCTAAACTTCACATCAGAATAAATATAGGTATAGATTACATTAAAAAGTTAACTTTGCATACCTAAATGACCTTGAATTAAAATAGGCATGGATGGGATCGGGCTTCGAGACTTGCCGTGGCGGGATAGGGTTTTAGGAATGAGAGCCCGGTACCGGCTCGGGTTGGTATTGGGGGACAGGGTTGGGCCGGGTAGTGTTGGATTCGGTTCGGGCCACCAGGCCCGTGACCCGGCCCGGTCGGGCAGTCCGGGACCGGGTATGGGCCCGAACATGGGGGAAGGGGCGGGGCGGGCTCGGTTCATCATTTTTGTGACCCGGCCGGGTCGGGCCCGGGTCCAGGTCTATTTTAAAAAAAAACTTTTTTTTTTGTTTTTTGGCTACTAGCCGTTGAGGCCTTGGGGGTGGGGCTGGGGACAACCCAAACGGCTATATAGCCGTTGGGTGGGGTAAAGAGGGGTCCGGGGGGTTGGTTGGTAGGGGGGGTGGGGGGGTAAAAAAACCTATAAATACTCCTACTCTTAAACATTTTTTCATATCTCTTCTCCAATTCTTCCTAAATCCTATTCTTAACTCTCTAATTCTCTTATTCTCCAATATATTATATATCTACTCTCTAATTCTCTTCTCCAAGAAGTTAAGATGGAAAATCAAAATGCCATTATACGGTATAATTTTGATAAGCAGAAGGACCCGAAAACCGGGATGTGATACGCAATTTGCAAATGGTGCGAAAAAAAATGTATCATGGGGGCTTCAGGCGGATTCGGGATGACAATCAAGCATATGAAGTCATGTGACAAAGCCAAAGGATCGGGAGGTGCGGGAAGTTCCGATTGATTACAATTTTCAAAATGTTTATCTTTTAAAGTTTGTTTTAATTTTCAAATGTAGTTCATATTTCATTTCAAATAAATGCAATTGAAGTTTGTTTTTAATACTCGTATAAAACTATAAACTATAAAATATAAATTATATAAAAAAATTAACCGGCCCGGCCCTAACCGGTCCCGACCCGTGACCCGGGCGGGTGGCCCGGCTCGAACCGGACCCGTCCAACCCTCGGGCCGGTCCCGGGCCCACTTTTCTTGAACCGGCGGCCCGACCGGGCCCGGGCCCGACCCGGCCTAGGCCCGGCCCGGGCCCGACCCGGCCCGAATCCATCCCTAGGGCCGGGTCTCGGGTAGTGTCGAGTTCGGTCAAGCTTTTTTTTTAAAATTTAGTTTATAATTAATTCAACAAGTGCTAGACAATAAAACCAAATATAAACGACAATTGAAACTTGAGTAAAATTTAAAGCACTAAATACACTTCCTAATAATCAATTGGAATCTACGTCACTGTCGGTTGTTTCCTCCATGAAGTGGCGGATGTTAAATTCTTGAGTTTTATGTTGGGCCTTCAACCAATTGTGGAAGCAAACAATCATCGCAAGAGATGTGCGCTCAATTTCATTCTATAATCCGTTAGGACATTGACAGTCGCACTAAATTCTTGTTCCACGGCAACTGTTGATATCAACATTGCTATCATTTGCTTAGCCATTTTTTATAAAATCGGGAACGCTATTTCTTTGTCCTTCCATCACTACAGAATGTCACAATCATTCTCGTCTTCATAGTCAAGGAAACGTTAGGTATAAAGAAAACTCGTTAATCGAGTTTTGTGCAACAGTGGAAGTTGATTTACTTTTTTCATAAGTTTGTCAAATGTTGATTTCAAACACGGTTTTATTGTAGATGAATAAGATGTTTTGTCAGGGGAGGGGGTGCGTTACCATATGGTGCATGAAATTCATTATATAATTGATGAAATAAGTTACTAATCTAGTTGGATTGTTCTTTTGAATCTATGAGCTTATCTTCGTACATATGATATGGACCAAAAAAAGAAGCATAATATTACACTAAACGACTTTGAAAAACACTAGGTTTGAAACGAGAATCAAGAATAAATGTAATACCATATATATGCGAAATATGTGAATAATATAATATTTGAAAAACTTTTCTGGGATGAAAGAACAAAAATGATGAATGTAAGGAGAATCAGAAAATTCACAAAAAGCACCAGCGAGATTAACAACTACAACATAATTTTTTTTAAACGATGAATATAAGGAGCATCGGAAAATTCATAAATAAGAAGTGCCTTGTAAATACAAGAACGGAAGAAGTATATTACTATGTATAAATAACTATATAAAGTCTAAAAATGTTAATAACATAATATTAATGAATGAGAAACAAGTAGCTTATCTTCGCATTATCTATTCATGTATTTCGGTTTATGTTAATGTTGGAGAAGTGCCTTGTAAATACAATTTGATTTGTATAAAGAATGTTTTTACGTTAACTCAAATTTTAGTCTGGTCTTATATGCGGGGGCGGATACACACGGAAGCTTATGGGGTCACTTGCCCCCAACAAAGTCCTTTTTTTTTTTATCAAAATCCAATTTTTTAGCTTTATAAATTATATTTTATTAAATAATTAGAGGTGTGCCCCCGATAAGAAAAAGAAAGTGCCCCCAATAAGAAGAAAGATGCTCTCATGGTCTAATTAAATACGTAATATTATATTGATAAGAAACACAACACACAGAAAGAAGCAAACATAATTAAACGAGTAAATAATTTTCTTTTTCTTCTATATATTTAATATTTCAGAAATAACTTTTATAGTTACTCTGGTGTTATGAATTAGAAGGCCTAAGGCCATCTCCAACAAGCACTATCTTCAACACCAAAATGGTGTATTTGGTAAAAAATGCTCACTCAATGGCACCAAACTTGACACCATTTCACCAAAATGGGGGAGGGGGGAAGCTTTCACGCTATATATGGCGTACGCCATTTGTAGCACCATCCAGTTTTTGTATTTTTTTTTCTTTCAAATGTGATACAAAGTTTTGATTATTATAGTTTTGACCCATTTTTAAAACAACAAATTAGGAAGTTTTACTTGGGCGGTTCCAAAATGGTGATAAATTACTCATGATCACCGGTGGCAATACAGGGGGCGATTCCACCAGCCAGCGGAAGAAGTGGGCTCAATCGTTTTACGTGGGGAAAGTTACTCACATGCCCCCGGTAAAGCGGCTGAGGGAGGAACCCATCACCTTCACCAACGCAGATCTCCCTCCTACTTCTTCTCCTCACATGGATGCCTTGGTGATTCAGACTGAAATAAACAACACCATCATTCACCGAACTTACATTGACACGGGCAGCTCCGTCAATGTAATGTACCTCAGCACCTTTAGAGAGCTGCATCTGGAGAGGGGGTCCCTTCGGCCCATTAAGACCCCTCTTGCCGGCTTCACCGGCGATACTATTGATTCCGAGGGGGTAATAACCCTCCCGGTAATCTTCGGCGACGGGCTCCATAGAACCCAGCTCGAATTGGAGTTCGTCGTCGTCAACATCGACTGCGCCCACAACAGCAGCGCAACTACTCTACTCCTTTTCACCACTTTGCAAGTGCCTCAAGGAGTGGGGGACTGTAGGACCCCCTCGGTAAAAACCACAAAAATTACAAACATGACCCCTCAAGTCCCAACATGTGGGTAACTGAGGGACTGCCCTCGGCAAAATAAACAAACTGCAAACTACCCACGACTCTACGAACTACAAACGAAACAACGACAGAGGACAAGCACAATTACTCCTTTTCCCTCAAGTACTTTTCGACAAAAGGAGTGAGGGACTCCTGATGGAGTATATGGCCCGGGAACCCCCGACCCACAGACTCCTACTACTCCAAACAAAGGCCCAACAGGCCCAAATCACAACGCCCAGAGTACCAAGCAGCCCACAATGCGCACCAGGGGTGCCTTCTGCCCCCTGGCCGAGGGCTCTAACTCCCACAGGAGGGCCAAAACAGGAAAACAAGATGACTGGGGAAAACGGCGAAAATCACTAGCCCTCGGCACCTGGAGCCCTCGGCACCAAGAGGGTCCCCAGTACTCAGAGCCTTCGGTTAGTCCTCTACAGCCGAGGGCACCTTTTCCGACATGATATCCGCACCACATGCGTACAGATCACTGTACCCTGTACAAACGTCCCATCCAACAGCCGCATTAAATGCGGCCACATGCGGCTGCCAGCGCCAACCAGTTGAGGCGACCTCTCGGCCAATGAGCACTTGACACGTGTCC